AGACCACATCTTTTTTTTGTTCTATCCCATTATATTTTAATAAAAACAAAACAGTTTGCAGCCAGTAGCTGTATCCAGTACCCTTCTTTAAATCTGCCTAAACACATTTTGATAGAGTATGTCAGTATTTTACAGGAGGGGTGAATATCAATTTCACATTTGGGAACACAATTAAATATTAAGCTCAGTAGCAAGTATTTCGATTTAAATCCAGGTCAGTGTTTGTGGCCTTTACGCAGAACCATGTGGTGTCATCACAAAGTAATTTGCTGGAAATCCTCTTACACTGCACTGCAGGTTTTCTTAATACAGTGCTGTAGATTTTTCCGTGTGCATAAATGTGTGTACAATACATGGAGATATTACCACTCAGTGTGAATATGCATTAGTATTATGTTGAATGATGCAACTGTGCTGATGTCTAGCTACTCCCTGATTACATAACAAAGCTTGATCTTTACTAAGTGCTTACATGTAATAATGCATTGCAGAATATTACATGGTGCTTGTACTTATTTTTGATTCATCTACCACTGAACTTTGCATCTCTAATGCTGAATTACTGCTTACATATAGTACATACCTTACCCTAATAGACACCATCATCTAAATCAAAACAACTTTAAAATAAATAATTAAACGCTGTCCAAGCTTTTATACATACCATCGTTAGGACTGTAACAGTTGCAAAAATCAAAGTTACACTTTGTGTTTTATCAGCATGATGTGCTTAAATTAGTCATGGTGGTTCAATCTTGAAAGTACTCATACTGTGATGCTGGGATCCAATCCTACCGCAGTATGCACCACTAACTGTATAGGAAGAGATTATGTACTTTTGAGCTTGAATAAGTGGAACAGTCACAGCTGTTATATAACGTTAGCACAAGCAAGAGGAAGCAAACAGAAAAGTGAAATGCCTGAGATCAGTTTTAGTGTAAGATTTCTTGTTTTGTGTTTTATTTACACAGCAGCAAGAGTCTGATTTGATTTATTTGGCCCTTTTTGAGCAAATATGTTGCTGAAATCACCTGATGTAGTTTGTTGTTTTATTGAAATATTATACATATATTAATTAAAGAGCTGCAGCTCTACAATAATAGCCTATAAATAACAAGCATCTGACTTTTTCTTCTTGTTTTCCTTCTATTGTACGTATGGCAAACCACCAGAGAATTCATGGCTTAGTGTAAAGTATTTGCTAAATGTTTGCATGCAGATGCTTGATTTTATGTGTACTCATTGCCTCTACTTGTGGATGCAGTCAGTATGGCTATATGTTTGTACGTACCTAATATACCCAGAGCCATAGTAACAGCCCTCAGAAAGGTGTGTTTTGCTGAACAATCTGATAAAGGAGTAAGGGGGAGAAAAGAGTATTGGCTCGAAAGTCTATCAGCTTGACCCAGGTAAAGACAGTAAATAGTATATTTGGCTGCCTTTACATTTGTATAGCATTATACTACCCAGCAAGCATCACAATATTACAAGCAATGAACATAATGAAATACAAACACCTGGAAATATTCCTGTGATTACAGAGTAAAAACTAAGGAAGAGGTAAGAATAGCCTGAGTGAGCAAAGATGTGAGATATGATTTAGAAATTGACCTCCTGATGTACTTGTTCAGAGGATGGGTTTCCTGCCTGAGCTGAGAAGTGACTCTGCTGTTCTGAAGCAAAAGGGAAGGTCACTGAAGGTTAGCTAAGAGGGAATAGATTCAGTCCTGAAGCTTATGGTAGGAAAAGCATGCTGGGATTTAAGCTGCCTAACAGTTTGCCACAGTAGCTGAGACACTGTGGAGGCAGAGATACACCACACTTTCCCTGCCTGAAAAACCCAGAGACAAGTTCTGGTAGCTAATGGACTACACAGGCTAGCTCTCTGTTAGCGCAAGAACATGCAATCTAAAACGTTTGTAGGCTGTTCTACCTTCAATTACACACCTAAGTGGTTTATACTAGCTGTTTTGTAGAAAGTAAGCTAGCCTGCTCACAGTTGAAGAACATGGATGTCAAGAGTGAGTAGAACACATTTATATTCTTGCATTTAATGTTTACAAAACCAGTTTTGTTTTCATGCTTCACTGCTTGTATCTCGGAGCTGATGTAACTAGTCCCCTATGTTAGCATCATGCTAGCCAAATGGTTTCTGTCTCTGCTTGGTTTTAAAAACTATCCTTCCAAGTTCATATTCACATTTATTAAGTTTACTCTGTGTTATTAGCATAGCTATTGGCCATTTAAAAATAATAGACAAGAACTTTTTCATTTGATTTTTGTTTATATTAACTTTTGTTTTAGTCAGGCTAGTTAGCTAGCCTACATATGGTCAACAAAAAAAGGACAGGAAGGAGAGGAAAGAGGGAGGTAGAAATGTGATCAAATTGCTATTAGTGAAACCATAGAGGTCTTGGCTAACACAGATGGACACTTTTTCTGTCAAATACCATCTGTGAAATAAGTTTCAGTAGGCTATATGTTAATTTGTTAAAGTTATTACAAGCCAGCCGAGTTCAATCTCTGCTAGCTAGCTGACCTTCCAAGATAACAAATGTCATGAATGCATAGAAAATAAAATATATCATATAATTATAAATATTGGAGGTGTGTGGCGCAGTGGGTAGAGCCTTGGTATGGGGATCAGGGGGTCACAGGTTCAAACCCCACTGCAGTCAGCATCAGTGGCGGCTGGTGGAAAATCTTTTTGGTGGGGCTGTTGATATAGTGAGTAAAACAATTTTTTTTGGGAGAAATGACCCCTTAAATTGGGACTTCTGGTGATGTAATGGCCCCATAATATCGTGGTGCTAGGGCCAGGAACAACCAGGCTGAGTCGGGCTGAGTATGCTAAACTAACTGCGGTCAAGCCA